AGCAACATCGAAAAAAGAAAGCTGGATGTTCCGGAAAAATTCCATTAGTTGTCTCGAAAGTCACAATTCGAAAAAAAAAATCTTTATATAGCCCAAACTAGTCCTACTCTCACCCAAACCAAACGAGCCAACACTTAGGCCAAGGAAAATTAAACTGAAAAAATGCCTTGACATAAAAAACAATAGCATAAACAGGCTTCACAAGTTTGCAAAAGTACTTTGCCCTAACACTTAACTATTACTCACCAAAAGCCCATCGCTATGTACGTAAAACTTTTGGAAGATGTTTGCCTGCACCACGGACATTGACTAAGTGATACACTACCATCGATCGCCGATCAGGGTTTACTCAAGAAGCACTGATGGCATTAAAATTGAGAGCGGAGAGTAACCCTGATAAAAAAAATTATTGTACCTTGGTCATGGATGAAATGAAAATTAGGCAATTGTCGGAATACCATGCTAGCAGCCAAAAGCATTATGTATATAACCAAAATGTCTTTTAGAACTGGTATATTACTCCGTCAATTGTTTTATTTTCATTTTATCTATCACTAATATACAATACAATTTCTTGTCAGGGTTACTCTCTAGTCAAAGTTTTAAAACAGTTGACGCTTTTTTGTGTAGCCAAGTCGTCGGCCATCAATTGTACATTAGTTAAGCAAAACATCTTTCTGGGGAATACTTAGCCCTAGGTAGATGTCACATTTTATTTTTAAGCAGCTGTCTGTTTAAAGTTCACTTTGTTCAACTGTTATACAGCGTAATACTTTATTATTTTCCTAATTTATTAAATATTTTCCAGATAGTTCAGTTAATAACTCTTCAAAATCAACAACTTTTTATAAATAGCGGTGATGATTGAAGCCTTTATAATAAAAACAAAAACTTGGTTAACACCATCTAAGATGATAAACTGATAGGATTTTTCTTTTCTTAAATCTGATTTTTAAAATAAGTTAACTAAACCTCCTATTTTGGTTTGTTAAATATTTTAAATTTTATCCTGCATAATGTAAAATAAATCTGTAGCAAAATAATAAAGTTTCTTTCAGTAATTTATAAGTTTTTTTTCGAAGATCATTTTTAAATACTTTAAAAAAAGAATTTCAAATAACACTTTGGTATTATTTATCAATGTATTAATAACTATAAAAACTTGTACGGACTATGGTGATTTGTTTATCGATAAAAAATATCGACATAGTCCACGCCTTACGTTGCTTACGCATTCAGCCAGCGCTATCAGTGTATCGACACGTGTACGATTTGATTGTATGCGTAAACGCGATGAACACAAACACAAATGTTGTAGTGTGCGTTTATAGTGACACGATTTAATTTTGCATTTTTAGTTAAGTATACAGTTTTGTGTTTACCTTGCGCCCCCCTGATGTTGGCAGAATTTTTGTTTCGGAATTAACGCGCATGGCCTCTCCAGTTGGTTGAATACTCAAAGGTAGCAAGCGTTATACGTACATATTGTAGTGTTCTATACGCAGTATATTATAATATCTTTGATTGTAATACGTGTACCTTGGAGGTTAAAGAGAAGGAGAACAACCGCTGTAGAAAACAGTGTCTAGAAATATGGACAAAATAAGTGAGGAGCTGTGATCGCTAAGTTCTCTCAATAAAACTCATTTTCAGTCTATTTTTCTGATCAGATGCTAGACCTCTTGCATATCCACACACAATTAAATATTTCTCCATTTTTTAATGTTTCTTTTTGTCAAAAATAAAAAAAAATGTGGGGCAAGATTATTTTCGCACCAGTGCTGCTAAGAAAATTTGTACATTATTCAACTAACTTCATCTAATTGTACTCATAAACAGCCAACTTTGCAGCCACTACTCACCGACGGCAGCGCCGCTATAAATTCTACAAATTTTCAGGGACAGGTGGGCTATGCTTTGGGTCACAGCGATCGTTCTCCTTCCCTCTAGCCTCCATGGTCGTATCCATAGAGAACAGGAGAACGATCGCTGTAGAAAATAGTGTCTAGAAATATGGACACAATAAGTGAGGCGTTGCGATCGCTAAGTTCGCTCAGTAAAAGTCATTTTCAGTCTATTTTTCCAGTAGACAGAGAAACCTATTGACTAATGATTAGCGTGGTCTCGATTGAGAAAGGACGATAACGTAATTTTAGGTTATACAATAATCTTTATGACTTTAAAACATATTTAGATAAAAAAAATTATTGCTCTATGAACTGAACTGAATAAGATTCACCAATCTTAAGCTCACAAAACACTTTCTTTCTCACTTAAACCAACCTGTAAACTCATTAGATCGCTACGAACAGTTAAATTTGTTTAGCAAAGTGTAGTTTGATAAACAAAAAAACCGGCACGGAGGAAGGGACAAACAATCACACCGCTCTGTCTCATTTCTATGCAAGACGTATGCATAAACCTATCTTCTTCGTGTGCGAATGCGAAAGAAGGCGTCAATTTGTCTATAGGTTTCTCTGTCTGCGATTTTTCCGATCAGATGCTAAACCACTTGCACACAAATGCACAATAAAATATTTCTCCATTTCTTAATGTTTCTTTTTATTAAAAATTAAAAAATTATGGAGCACGAATAACTATAGATATTATAATATATTATATACACTTCTATACTACTCCTTTATATTTATGTTATTTTTATTAAGTATTTTGTTGATTTCTAAATAACAATAAAAACTCTGTTTGTTACTTAGAAATCGGCATAAATCGTAGACAGAGAAATCTATAGACAAATTGACGCCTTTTTTCGCATTCGCACACGAAAAAGATAGATTAATGCATACGTCTTGCGTAGAAATTAAACGGAGCGGTGTGATTGTTTGTCCCTTTCTCCGTGCCGGTTTTTTTGTTTAGCAAACTCTACAGTTTGCTAAACAACTTTGACAACGTAGCGATTTAAGGAGTTTACAAGTTGGTTTAAGTGAGAAAAAAGTGTCTTGTAAGCTTAAGATTGGTGAATCTTGTTCAGTTCAGTTCTTAGAACAATTAAAAATTTTATCTAAATGTGTTTAAAAGTCATAAAGATTATTCTACAACCTAAAAATTCGTTATCGTTCTTTCTCACTCGAGGCCACGCCGATCATTAGTCTATAGGTTTCTCTGTCTACGGCATAAATACTCTCGATAAATTATCTGTCTACGACGAAACAGACTTAGGCAAGAAGAAAGATTTTCAGTATTGTTAACATATTTATTTCACAATTTTAAACAAGATGATATTTTGAAAATAAAATAACACCAAAATGTGAGATGTTATAAAATTCCAGGGTTGAAATTAACATATTATTTTATAAATCTTTTATTATATTTGTCACTGCACCAATTACAAAATCTACCTTAACACGTTCATTGCCAAGCCAAAATGCTGAACTTACATAGACGGCCAAATTAAAAAATCGTTGGATGTGGTTTTTATTGTGCCAGTAATGCTTTTATATAAGGAATCTACCATTATATAATGTATAAGTTCATAAATATATGTGTATATTTTTATCACGCGAAGACGTGTGATCGGCCATACGGGACTCATTTATTATATACATATTGCCCACATGGCTGGTAACGCGAATTCGCGTGATTTGTATTTACATGGCAAAATAGGCTTTTATTAGTAAAAAAAAACATTCAATATTCATTTTGTAATAAACTTTTATTAGAGATCAAAATCACTTCTTATAATAATGTAGAAACATGTAACTTATAGGTAACAATGAACTTATAGATAGACTAAGAAAAACAAAAATTACACTTTGGTAGGTGTTTTTACTTATTAGAAAAACCAGCAAACTTGTGCAGGTCAAAAAAATAATCAATACAAAACGGAGGGCAATCAGGGCATTGCTTACATTCCATAGTAGTATTTACCCTTTTTTTATTCGAATAACAATTTCCACAATCTTTTCTAGCCGTTACAGTAGCTTTTCTACCAGTACTGATAAAACGCTCTTTAGATTTCTCTATTTCAGTCAATCTGTGGTTTTTAGATTGCTGGGACGCCTGCTATACTTGTGGCTCAACTTGACGCTCAGGCAAAAATGACTCAATGACTTTTGCTCTAAAATCATATAACGATAAGCTTGGCTTGCCTGAGAATTTGTTGTAGCGTTGTCGAGCATTTATCATGCTCTTCATTATAGCATGTATTTTCACATACCACCTTAGAGTTTTTCTTTCACAGGGGTAATAGCTGAGCATTTGATCTTGTAGGTAGGTAGGTAGGCCTGACATGTTTTGATTATATTGTAGGACAGCTATGGTTTTAATACAACAATGCCGAGTTTGTTGGTAATTTCCTGCATTTGATCCCCGAATTGCGATGGGATATAATTTAGTTCTCTTTTGTCCTTCCATTTTCCTATATGAACACCGTTACGATAGCGTGAAATATTTTCACCTTTTTTTTGTTTTTTGGAAATCACTTCTGATGGATTATCTTTGCGTTTCTTGTTCAATGTGCCAGTGCAGTAGGTATTCCTGTCCAATAATTTGGTAGCTAAGCTATAGCTGTTATAGAAATTGTCCATAAAGACAGCGTGGCTGGAATCTAAATTATTTTGCAATAACTTTTCTACCATTTTTTCTGTGTGTCCTGGGCCAGAAGTTTCATCCATTGTACTGGCAAAAACATGGACTCTTATAATAGTTCCATTTGGTTCTGACAATATATAAAGTTTTATTCCGTATTTGTGTCTTTTTCCTTTTATGAATTGCCGAAATATCAGACGGCCACGAAATAAAACCATAGATTCGTCCAAAGACAAATTTCTACCGGGATAATAAATCCTGTCCACAAACTAATAAGAGTACTAACGTACCTGTCCATTATTTCATTGAAGGTATTTATTATCATTTTGCATTTATTCATGCGGGCAGGATTGCCTCGTCACCTTCTTCAACAAATGTGTGACGTGGAACCTGTTTCTCGACATATGTTCAGAGAAAACTGACTTATACAATCGATGCGATTTCCAGTAATCAACCTAGCGTTTCATTTTCGCTGTGCCAGTGTGATAAAGTAAACCAATAAATATTCTCAATTCTTCTATAGTTAGTGGTTTCCAATTCGTAATACGAGACCTGCGAAACTGCGTAGAATTCCTTATGTTTTCTGCATTTCTATTAGTGGAATCGACGATTTTTTGTAGATAGTCATCAGTAAGAAATAAATCAACATACCCTCTTGGACTGTCCGGCTGTGGCACAAGCAGTTCATTTGTCTTCGTGATAGAAATATCTCTCATCGAACTAGAATCGGTAGTCCAACGTGTCGTAGATGCTGTTCTGGATGGCTGCTGAAGGTCAGTCGGTGGCGACGATGGAGTCTGATCACTAGAGGCATCGAAACGTTGTTCAGACACAGCCTCCACGTTTTCCTCCTCCTCCTCGTCTCCTGCAGATTCTGAACTTGCATCACCTTCGTTGGCTATGTAGTCTAAATCATCTACATCACTCCCTGCATAAACATTTTCGTCTGAGTCCCGTAAAAATTCTTCCACTTCCGAACTATTTAGTCGTTTTCTTCTTGCAACTCGCGATGTATTAGGCTCTGATGACCTTTTTGTCGGTTTCGGATTATTACTCATTATAAATACAAAGTTTTGATGTAAACAAAACGAAAACAGCCGAGAAAAAACAAAAACACTCCTACCCCACGTGGCTGCACAGAGCTAGTGTGCGGCTAGCTGCACGCGAAACAAAAAATTCAAGATGGCTAACCGCAGGCCACGCCCACAAATAGATAGGTAATTTCCTTCCCTAGTGGCCAAAACAAATACCAGAAACCAATACGTTGCGGCCGATATTTTGTGGCTCATATATAATTGTAAGGCACCATCACGCGACGTCGCATGATCAGCCACATCGTAATAGGCCGCTTCACGCAACGTCGCGTGACGTGGCAATGAACTTGTTAAAGCACATTTTGAGCCCTCTGTTTTGTGCTATACACTAGCAATTACGATAAAACACTCAAAAATACGAAATAACAAGAAATAAGCACATGCACAATCCGGCGTACATATTTCTTAAAACAATTTCTCAATTTGATTCAGTGTTGTCTAATGAAACCTATTACTCCTTATAATATAAACTTCATGTATGTAGCAAATATAAACTAACTTGAATTTAGAACTACGAAGGGATTTTTTATTATTTATTATTTTGGAAGACAAAATTAATTAATTTAGTAACACCGATATGTTTTTTTCTACCGCTGCATTAAAAGACATTTTCAAGCTACTGGGCTGGAAAGAATACGGTATTAACATCAATGGCGAGTACATCACTCACCTTCGATTTGCCGACGACTTAGTCCTTATGGCAGAATCGCTGGAGGACCTAAGCACTATGCTCAATGACCTCAATAGTGTCTCCCAACGGATAGGTCTTAAGATGAACATGGACAAAACAAAGATCATGTGTAACGTCCATGTCACACCTATGCCGGTAGTCGTTTGGAAGCACTAAGCTCGAAGTTGTTGACGAGTATGTTTACCTGGGACAAATGGTCTCAGTAGGTAAGTCCAACTTCGGCCGAAAGGTCACTTGACGGATTCAACTCGCTTGGCAGCGTTCGGGAAATTATAACATTCGACACAGACTCGTCAGGTATATCTCTAAACCTGAAGACGAGACTGTACAACTAGTGCGTTTTGCCAGTGATGACCTACGGAACTGAGACATGGTCCTTCACTGCTGCGAGCCATGGAGAGGGCTGTGCTCGGGGTTTATCTGCGTGATAAACTTAGAAATGAGGATATCCGCAATAGAACCAGAGTGAACTACATAGAACAACGGATTAGTAAGGTGAAGTGGCAATGTGCCGGCCATATATCTCGAAGAACCGACAACCGATGGGGGAAAAAGGTTCTCGAGTGGCAGCCTCGTACCGGTAGGCATGGTGTAGGGTGACCCCTCACTAGATGGAGTGACGACCCGGTTAGACATGCAGGAAGTTAATGTATGCAGGCAGCTCAGGACCGTGCTTTGTGGCATACCTTTGGCCTCAGGCCTCATGTTCAGCAGTAGACTAGTGAAAGGCTGTAATGATGATGATGATGATGATATTTTTTAATTTAGTTAATAAATACAATAACATATAACAATAACTTGCTTAATAGAATATTTCCTTTTTAGCATTTCCTTTATACCTATCACTAGAATTATTATTAATTATAGTGCCCAATTAATGCTTAATTTTTTTGTGGCGGTCAAACTATCTTGATTGATTTACATAAAGTAGCTAAAAATGCAAGATTCCAGAGCAGCTATAAATTAAAAAGTATTAAGTGTTTCATAAATCAATGTGCGGTAGTTTACTTACAGTACGTTTGCACTGAGAAACATCCAACACGTAATGTTTTGAAACAAATCGCAGGAAATAAATCACACAACATGTTTTGTTGATGGTGGCGTTCTAACTTACAAAAACTGTGTAAAATTTTCAACAGATATCAAGATTTGTTTTAGCTGTGTTCGCATTGAATACAACATAAACATTCTACTTGTTTATCTATAGATTTGTCAACGTTAGCGTTCGCACTGTTGTTTTTTTTATATTTCGCGATTTGTTTTAAATCGTGTTTTTCTGTTATCCAATTTAGTTGCAAAACATCACAAAACATTATCAACCCTAGCGGAGACGAATGATAACTTTATTCAAAATATATATGTTGTATCATCATCATCATTACAGCCCTTCACAAGTCCACTGCTGAACATAGGCCTCCCCCAAGGTATGCCACAAAGCACGGTCCTGACTCAGGACTCCTGAGCCACCTGCATCCATCGCTGCATGTCTTAACAGATCGTCACTCCATCTAGTGGGGGGTCGCCCTACACTTCGCCTACAGGTACGAGTCTGCCACTCGAGAACCTTTTTTCCCCAACGGTTGACGGTTCTACGAGCTACATGGCCGGCCCATTGCCACTTCAGCTTACTAATCCGTTGGGCTATGTCGGTCACTCTGGTTCTTCTGAGGATATTCTCATTTCTAAGTTTATCACGCAGAGAAACTCCGAGCATAGCCCTCTCCATAGCTCGCTGAACGACTTTGAGCATCCTCATACGGCCAGCAGTGAAGGACCACGAAGGAAGGTTCCGTAGGTCATCACTGGCAACACGCACTGGTTGTACAATTTAGTTTTCAGGTATTGAGGTATACCTGACGAGAAGATGCGTCGTAATTTCCCGAACGCTGCCCAGCCGAGTTGAATTCGTCGGTTGACCTCTCGGTCAAAGTTGGACTTACCCAGTCGGACTATTTGTCCCAGGTAAACGTACTCGTCAACAACTTCGAGCTTAGTGCTCCCAACAACTACCGGCATAGGTGTGACACGGACATTAAACATGATATTTGTTTTGTACATGTTCATCTTAAGACCTGTCCATTGAGAGACACTATTGAGTGAAACTATTAAATGTGGTATATATCTCCACAAATTCCATCTTTATCATTAATCAGATTATCTGCAATTCTCTCGTGTGGCGGAAAAATTAAGTCTTTTTTTTTTTTTGGGTATTTTTTTAGGTTGCCTGTCCCAGAGCTCGATATAAAAGAACATAATAAAATACAATACAAATTTCTAATTATTTATTCAATTAAAATACATAACTTAAAAAAAAGAAACGTAGAAAACTGTTTATCAAATAATTTAGTTTGTCACTGCCATCTTCATAATGTGTTTTAAGTGACAAGAAATTTTTGTTCCACATGTTCTACTAATTATATATATGGGAAAGAAATATGAAAGCATGTACCACCTTTCTCTCAAAATTTTACAAAGCTTACCATAGTTTAGGTTCCAATAATCTGTTTCCTTGGAGATATACAGGGTTATTTTGTGACAACTGGTCAAATTTGCAGAGAAGGTTCAAGATAACTAATATAGGCCGTTAAAGACAAATCAATTTTAAAAAATCTCAAACTGTGTATCCTTTTTATCTCTTAAATTCAAAATGCGCAGTAATGCATTGTGATTTTACTGCACACGCAAACATTCGTTAATAATAAGCTTGTCGCCATCCCGGTGAGTCACTTAGGCATGTCAAAGTACTTACACAGGCACAACCTAGTAGCCAGAATTCTACACCAAGAGCTCGCTCTGAAATACGGTCTCGTAGATCGGAAACTGCCTTATTATAAGTACTTACCGGAAGTCGTGCTCGAAAATGACCGTATTATTGTATTTATTTTATTTTACTGATATTTATGTATATTTATCTTTTCATTTTCATTTATATATATATAGAACCCATCCAGATGAGAAAACTATATAGATACCCCACATAATAATAATTATATTTATTGAATCCAAACATACTTTACATAAAAACATAAACTTATAAAATTACATTAATAAGACGTAAATGTAACTCAATAGTATATTAAGGTATCTTTAGCAACCGTGCTAGGTCACAGACCTGTGTTACAGCTGCTAAGCCCTCCCCATTAAATACATACCAAATAGAAAAACAAAAACATAAAAACAATTTTACCACAATCAAGAAATGAATAAAAGTTCTAATCCGACAAATGGCTCAATACTATTATAGCTAAATGTTTAGTTGTATGGTACAAGAGTAAGGCAGGAGAGATATTCTATAAATGTGTCACACACTTATATTAATATTCAAATGTTATAGTAAACGTTTACAAGAACTTATTCTATATTTCACATAAAAATTATTGAAACTTAGTGTCTCAGTTAATATTTCATTTTCTTAAAACAATAAAATATAATATGCAAAATGTTCATTTAATATTGGAGATTTGTTAATCACAAACCAATATTACAAGTTTAGAAGTAAGTGTAAAATTAATACGTAGATGCTAGTGTGTAGTATACGAGTGTGAGTGAGTGTGTGTGTGTGTTTGTGTGAAAGAAGTAGAGAGTGTGTCTTGTTATTTTGCTTAACAGTTTGCATTTTTAACTATCTATATTTAATAATTTTACAGTTTCCTCGTAAGATAAAGACATTAAAACTCAGAGCTTGCTTATATTTGAAACATGTTAGTCGATCAGTAGGCAAAAACGTTGTTGCCCATAAATCGGATTCAATTTGGGATAGTTGCAAATAAAAGAAGAAGCTTTATTTAGCGATATTTTCAAAAACTGCAATAACATTGTATCATTATTTATGAATTTAAGCTTAAGTTTCGAATTTGATTACTCTGAAAAATATAATATAATATGTATATAATGGCAACAATATTTATCATTTTATCAGTCTGAACCCAAAGGGTGTTATAAAGATTGTTATACTAAGCCTACAATGTTGGGTCTTGCAGGCTTAGTATTACAGTCCAGACGGAATGTGACAGCCATGCAACCGACATCGCCGCGGCGACTAGTATATCTATACTGGCCGCTAATAGCAGGTGATTCTAAAGTACAAAATTACATTTCTCAAACTTGCATAATACTAGAACACTACTAAAGGGAGACAAAATTTCTTTAGCAAAATTAGTTCTGTCTATTAAGTCATTAGATGAGTTAAAAAAAGGAAAATAAAAATCAATACCGATTACAATATTTCAATTACCTATGTAAAAAAGGATAAAATAATATAGAAGATTTACAA